GTAAAGCCATCAGATCCAAGCTTTCTGTGTAGAGAGTTATCCTATTACTGACACATCTTCCTCGGTAGTTAATCCCTTTTCAGAGAAATATTTTCCTTTTCCCAACTAGCAGCACCGGGGCACGGCCGTGAACAAAAGGGGGGATGTTCTGGAGAGAAGGGGCGGTGTGGGTGTGACCTGGCCCCGGAGGGGAGCCGCTCCAGCTCGTGTCTGCGCTCCCGGGCCAGCTGAACATCCACGTGGGGAACATCTCCCTGGTGGACCAGTTCGAGTGGGACATGTCGGAGAAGGAGAACTCGCCCGAGAAGTTTGCTCTGAAGCTGTGCTCCGAGCTGGGGCTGGGCGGGGAGTTCGTCACCACCATCGCCTACAGCATCCGGGGACAGCTGAGCTGGCATCAGAAGACCTACGCCTTCAGGTAGGGGCTGGGACGGGTGGCCACCCCCCACCCCCCTGCGCGGGGATGCCTTCGCGACTTCCTGGGGCCTCGGTGCCAGCTGACCGAGGGCCACCCCGTGCGCTTGGCGGCCTGTGTCACCTCCTCCTGTCCCCTGTCCCACTGGGGACATTACTGAGACCCTTGCTGGTCCGCTGGACTCCTGCTCAGACAGGCCTGCCCACCCCCGCCCAGGGCGGTCCGGACGCTGCTGCCGCGTCTTGTTCAGTCCTCGAGCGGGCAGCAGGCGCCCCCATGGGAGAGGGGGTGGCGTTCAGGCGCTCACAGAGCAGGGAGGGGTCTGGTCCCGGGTCCCAGGCAGGCTCCTCGCGACCCCAGCGTGCCTTCCAGTTCCCGGTGGCCGGACCCGGCAGAGCTTGCCCGGGGCAGCCCCATCCCCCAGGCCCCACCTGCGGGAGGCGTCCAAACCGGATGTTAGGCTTTATGCGGCTGCTCAAGCTGTCACCGTCCCCATGTGGAGGCCATTACCGAGGGACCACCCCTGACGGGGAACAGCTGAGGGAGCACGTGGGGCTGTTTGTGTCTCAGCTGCTTCTCCAGAAACCCCGGGAGGCAGTGCCCGCTGTGTTCTGGGACTCTGAGCAAGAGAGGGAACGGCTGCCACACGGGGCCCCCCACAGCTGCCGGCAGCCCCGCTGCCCCGGGGTCCCAGTCCACAGATAGAGGCCGGGCCACGCCCCGAGTCCTGGGGGAGGCCTGCTCACGGCGCCTGTCCACCCACGGCTCATGAGCTGAGGCCAGCGGGCCTGGGGCCAGCCTGGGGGGCCTCACTCCCCAGAGCAGACCCCGAGGTCCTGGGAGTGACGTCGACACCAAGTCCCTCATCCCCGGAGGCTGACTCAGAACGCACCTCTCACTGCCGTGCAGCAGGGGGACTCAGGGGGGGGCCTGGGCCGAGTCCTCCCTGCTCTGATGTTCAGGGGACCTGGAGATTTTCTACCCAGATGGCGCTGCTGGGAAAGAACCCACCTGCCAGTGCAGGAGAGACATAGGTTCCATCCCTGGGTTGGGAAGATCCCCTGGAGGAGGGCATGGCAACCCACTCCAGCACTCCTGCCTGGAGAATCCCATGGACAGAAGGGCCTGGTGGGCTGCAGTCCATGGGCTCGCAAAGAGCTGGACACGACTGAGTGACTAACACTCACTTTTCAAGAGTTGGTTATACATTCCAGATACAGGTCTCTTACCACATACCTGAAAATACAAGGCATATATCTTCTCCCTTTTTGTGGGTTTGTAGTTCACATTCATGACAGTATCTTCTCAGGCAAAAAGTTTTTAATTTTGACGATGTCCAGTTTATCTGTTTTTGCCTCGGGTTGCTTGTGCTGTTGATGTCATAGCTGAGAAACCGTGGCCTGCCGGGTCCTGTCCCGGCACCGCTTGTTGGAAGGACCGCCCTTTCCCCATCGAGTGGGCTGGGCCCCTTGTCCAGAGTCAGCTGATCTCATGCAGGAGGGTGACCCCGAGTTTTGTCCCCTCTTCCCGGCTGGGGAGGGGTGGGGGTGGTTGCTCCCTGCAGTCTTGTTCTCATCTACCAGGTGGGCACAGCTGTGCCCAGCTGGCCTGCTGCACCTGTGAGGTTGTAAAACTGAGGTCACGTCGAAGATGACCCTCCGGGCCCTCTGCCTCCTCCGACACGGCCTCCCTGCTTGCACCTGGCGGGTGGTGGGAATGCAGGGTCCCAGGCGGCCTTGAGGCCCAGGAAGCTGAACGCCTGGGCGGGTGGGCGGCTGTCTGCCCGCCTGTCCCTACGCTGTGGGCTCCTGGCTCCAGGTCCCTCCTTCCAGGCCTGGCCTGAGCAGCCCTTGGTTTGGCATAAACCCCCCAGGACAGAATCTTCCCAGAGCCAGAGGGAGGTAACACGGGGCCTCCGGGACCCACACTTGTTTATGTTAAGAGGAAGACGTGTTTGCTCCTGTCAGCGCGGGCTTGGTGGCTTTCGTGTCTGCTGCCCCCAAGGAAGGCAGCTGGGAGCCCACCACGTGAGGAGTGACGTTTGGGTCTGCGCTGCTGGCTTCTGAACTGCCGCAGAGCCACCCGGCTGGGGAGCAGCTGTCGGCAGGGGTGGCCGGGGCAGCCCAGCCACTGGCCTGGGACTCGGGCGCCGGCTCGGGCCCCAGCCCTCGCGCACTGGGTGTGTGTTGGATGTTTAGTGGTAGTGGTCCTCTGAAACCCCTCGCAGCAAGGACACTGTCTCCATTTTCCAGGTGAGGAGTTAAAACTAAGGCCGGGGGCCTGTGTTTTCCTGTGCTGTTCCCCCAGCACCCCCGCCCTCCCTGCTCCGGGGCTGACTCCGCGGGGCTCCCAGCACGCCGACTCTTGGGGCCGAGCCTCGAGGACCGGGCACCAGTGGCCCAGCGGGAGGCCAGAGGAGAGGGCCCAGAGGCCCGCGTGGGCAGGGCGGGGGAGGGCGCAGCGGAGGCTCGCTGGGTGGGCTTGACCTGGCTCTCCTGGCAGAGGCAGTGGCTTGGCCAGGCATCCCCAGCCTTTGCGGCCTTGCCGAGGCTGATCCCCCCCGGCCCTGAGTCCACTTTGCCAGAGGGTGTGCAGGTGGCCCTTGGGAGGCATCTGGGCGCATCTTTGAGGGGCCCCAGGGTGGAGCGGTCAGGGCTCATGGGTTCTGGGCCCCTGTGACATGGGCCGAGGGGCTCCCTGTGGGCTGCTCAGGGCAGGGGCCCTGGGACTCCACTCCTGGGTGGATGAACTCCTTTGCTCTCCTTCCTTCTGGACGCTGAGCGGGGCAAATGGCCCTTCTCCTCTCCACAGGTCCACTGGGAATGGCTGGGCCCGCAGCACTGTCCTGTGGACCCCTCCCCACATGCAGACCCGGAGATGCCGTGTTGGCAGCATGCCCTGTGTCGGGAGCTGGGCACAGAAACCAGACTCCACATCCTGTTTGCCCGCGGCGGGGGTGGACACTGCTTTCTGGGGCCTCTCCTGCAGCCGCTCTGTGAACCCTCTCCCCCTCCTGTCTTCTACAGTGAGAACCCCCTGCCCACGGTGGAGATCGCCATCCGGAACACGGGCGACGCAGATCAGTGGTGCCCGCTGCTGGAGACCCTGACGGACGCAGAGATGGAGAAGAAGATCCGGGACCAGGACCGGAACACAAGGTGCCACCCCAGTCCCCTTCCAGGCAGGACAGGGCCCTGGGCAAATGGTCCCAGGCGAGCCCTCGGGCAGGTCTGACCACAGCCCAGACCAGGCTCACTCCCCCTGGGGAGAGGGGTGGGACAGAGGGCGGCTTCCAGGCCCCAAGCAGCAGAGCGACTGAGGGAGGGGCTGGGGGCTCCTGCCCCCTCGCTCGGTTGCCTGAGACACCCGGGGGTCGCTGCCCTCCCCCTCCCGCAGGCGGATGAGGCGTCTGGCCAACACGGCCCCAGCCTGGTGACCACCCCGCAGTGCTTGGCTCCCAGGGAGCGTCTGGAGATTGGCCCGCCTCTCCTCCATCTTCTGGTTTGGAGGGGACCAGGCGGGGGCAGCCTGGCCGTCCTAAGGAGCAGGCCAGGGGCCTCCTGATCCCCCGCCGCCCAGGGACACATTCCGGCTGCTGAGCCCCAGTCCCCACCGCCCGTCTCTGGTCAGGAGAGGCCATGTTGAGCTGTGTTTGTTTTTTGTATAGAAGCCCCAGGCAGGGCAAGCAACACTTTCTAAATAAAAAGGCAACAGGTTCTGTTTTGTTTCTTCAAAGTGGTGGCCCGGAGCTGAGAACGGGGCAGCATGGCACGGGCTGGCCCCTCACCCTCCTGCGCACACGTCCCAGCTGGGCCTCGGCAGGGCCCGGGCGCCCTAGACCACACCACCCCCCGAAACCATGAGCAGGACCAAGGCTCACTCAGCCCTGCGGGCCGGCCCCACCTGCCCAGCTCAGCGAGCCCCTGGAGTCCCGGGCTGGTGGGAGGTGGCGCCTGTCAGTCCCGGCCCGCCCCCAGCCAGGAGCATGGGCTTCTTGCCCAGGGTGGCACCTGGGGGCTTCCTCCTGGGACCAGGCCCGGCAGGTGACCCAGGCCCAGTTGCATGAAGCCCGTGAGCCCAGGCCCTGCACCTTCTGCTGCTGGCAGGGCTGAGGGTCAGGACTGCTCTGCTCCCGCCAACGGCGGGGGCCTCACACCAGGGGGGGCAGAGCTCTAAGGGTTTCCGGTTACCGGGTGGGCTGAGATGGGCCTTGCCTCTGGGCTCGGGGGCCTTGCGAGCATATCCTAGGAACTCGTACTCCAGCCACTGCCCTCCATCCAGGGCAAGGGGACAGTGGGGTTTCCCCTGAAGGCCCTGAACAAAGAAGATGGGTCCAAGCCCAGCTGGCCTCGCGGACAGTGGGCTCCACCACGAGCGGGGGGGCAGGGGGGGGATGTTCTGGCCACAGCAGGAGGTGGCCTGAGCCAGAGAACCAGTGGGGGATGATGCTGCCTGCCTCCCTTGCTGGCCAGGCGCCACCTGCCTGGCAGAGGCCCGGGAGGGGCCTTCACCTGCCAGCCGCCCGCCAACCCATCGCGGAGCCCACGGCTGGGCCAGAGGTTTCACAGCAACATTAAGGTCAGACTCCATAGCAAGTACTTTTATCATGTGTGAACGTGACAGCCGGCGGTGGCTGGTGCTGCTTCGGACCCAGGAATAAACCACCGTGTGGACTGGTCCTCTGATGCCCATGAGCCAGGGGCCAGGTGAGGCTCCCGTGGGCCTCCGCTGCAGATGGCAGGGGCGTAGCTCCCCAGAGGCCTCTGCCTCAGCCACTGGACTCTGCAAACGTGACACTTGAGGCTTCAGGGTCACAGAAAGGGCCTGGCCCTCTTCTGCACCTGGCCCATCCTTCAGCGGCCTGGCTGGGAAATGAGGTAGAGGTCCCCTTGGGGGTTGCTAGTTTGGGACAGGAGGGCCCTAAGGAGGTGTCAATGGAGGGCTCCCACGACCCAGCATCCCGGCCCCGGCCCCGCCCCCGAGATTGACACCGCTGCCCCCCCCCCATCACTGGAAGCTGAATTAAGGCAGACAGTGTGAGGATGAGAACCTCACAGAGGGCAGGGCTGCCCTCTGAGCTCAGAGCTGTGCTGGTCACTGGGCAGGTTCTGGACCCTCTCTGGGCCTCCGGCCGTGCCACCTGTGCTGGGTCGGAGAGCAGGTCAGGCTTGGCCCTGGCTCTCGGCCAGCAGCACCTGCCCCGCATGGAGAGGCTGGCCGCAGCAGGAGAGCCAGTGCTGTGGGCAACAGGCTGCAGGTCACTTGTTTATTCAGGGCAGGAGCCCTAGGCCCGGGCCCAGCCTCCAGGACAGGGAGCTGAGTTGCAGGCCAGGGTTGGGGTGGGGGTGGACCCGGCCCTGGGTGAGGTCATCCTCACTGCTGCAGGGGTCCTGGCTGCTCCTCGGGGAGGGGCCGGTAATTGGGGTCCTCCTCTGGGGCATCCAGTAGCAGCTTCCTGTGGGGAGGGGCCCATGCTGAGCTGCAGCCAGTAGGGTACCCCCAACGGGGTGGAGAGCCATCTGGGGAGGGGGGTGGGGAAGGCTCACAGGAAGCCCCCTGTGACCCCCACTCACAGGAAGCTGGGGGTCAGCAGCAGCCTCTTGCCTCCAGGCTGGTTGGGGAAGACGTCCTCCAGGAAGTAGTAAACGTGGCCCACTGCGATCCCTGTGGGAGAGCTGCCAATGCCGAGGCCACCCTCCACAGCTCTGAAGCCCCCAGAGCATGGGTGTCCGATACCCTGTACGGCCGACCGGCCCAGCGTGGGGCCAGGCTTGGCCCAGAAGCGGGCAGAACCTGGGAGGAGGTCAGCCCTGAGGACACCAGGGGAACTGGAGCCGTGAAGCAGGCACCCTAAGCCACCCATCCCCACCGGGTCAGGCCCCATACAAGCGTCAGCGAATCGGTCAGGCTCGAAGAAGTAAAACTGATAGGCTGGCTTGTTGGAGGGGCTGGAAGGATGGGGGCGCCAGGAGGGAGTAAGAGGGGGTGGGGGACAGGGAGAGGACCAGGGCTCTGGCCCAGCACACCCAGCTTGGGGCAGGCTCCCTGAACAGCAGACTCACCCAGTAAGTCCACCAGGATGGAATTGCCCAGCAGCATTGAGAAGCCCATGAGCGCCCAGGGCAGGAAGGGCGCCTGGAAAGTGAGGAGGCCGAAGAAGTTGACCCTCACCCCAGGGCTGCGGCGGCTCCACACGTACACCAGCATGGCCGTGAGGGCCTGGCCCAGGAAGAAGAGGCTACCCAGGAGCCCCAGCAGCTGGGCCAGAGTCAAGGTCTCATGGCCTGCCCAGGGCCCCTCTGACTACCTAAACCCCTGGAACCCTCAAGCTGGCTGGTTTCACTTCCCAATCTAAGGCCAAACCATGGCCTCCAGGGGCCCCCTGATCCGCCCCACCTCTCCACCTCACCCCAGCTCCTGAGCCCAGGCCTAGATCCTCCTGGCTACCTGCATTCAGGACTCAGCCCCTGGGCACACTGCCCTGTGGTATTTTGGGTGTAGCCCTGGAGTTTGACGGGGGCACCTGGAGCTGAGCACGTGATGCACGCTCAGCTCCGGGGCACAACTCTTTCCCTCTGCAGCCAGCGCTCAAGCAGGGCCCCAGGGCCGACAAGGGCCCGGACCCACAGGTCCCCGAGCCCGGGAAGGATACAGTCATCAGGAGGCCCCCGAAGAGAAACATGAAGACGAAGTCGGCCGTGCGGCCGCGGAAGGAACCCTCCTCCAGCATGCGGCAGTAGCGGAACCTGCGGCTTTGGTATAGGAAGCGTGCCACTTGGAGGGGCTCAGCTTCCCCGGGCCCGCTGCCTCCCTCCCAGTATCCACCCTGCCCCCGCTCCCGCCTCCACCACGGCGCAGGATACACGAAGAGCATGTTGAAGAAGAAGCTGAATCCCAGGGGCCCGAAGAAGAGGAAGTTGGTGATGAGCCTCCAGACCTGCGTGGGGTGCGGCGGGGTGGGGGGCGGTCAGGCCAACGCTGGGCGGGAGGGGTTGGGCCAGCAGGTGCAAGGGGCGGGGCGGCCTCACCTGGAACTTCCGGAACACGAGGTGCGGGTTGAAGTAGAGCTGGAAGGGACTGAGGAGTTCCAGCTGCTGCGGAACCGGGGGAATCTTAGAAACTGCCCCCCGACCCACGCACCCCGGGGGAGCTGGGGGGAGGTCCATTCGTAACCTTGGCAACCCCCGGAGGCGGTAACCACGGCAGCGCTCCCCAAACCGCCCTTCCGGCTCACCACGGCGGCAGTGGTGAGGATGCAGGCCGCGGTGTAGGTCCGCGTCACCGCCGGCACCTGCAGGAACTCGGTCGCCAGCCCCTGCCACGCCATGGACGCTTCCCAGGCACTCTTGGTCCCGCTGCCGAGCTCTCTTAACCCGCCTCCAAGCCCCGCCCAACCGCCTTCAGCCAATCCGCATCTGCGGTGGAGCGCGCCGGCGGCTGGAGGGCGGGGCCCTGGGGAAGATAGCCAATAGGAAGAGAGAGCGGAGGGTCGGAGGCGGGACGGGGGCGTGGGTGGGGCGTGACTCGGGGGCCAATGAGCAGGCCCCACGCTGGAGCACGTGGCGCGTGTTGTGGTGCCCGCGGCGGCGGCGCGGGAGAAGGTGTGGCCAATGAGGAACTGAGGCCTTAGGCCCACCCTGCGAGCGAGGCTATGAGCACTTGTTAGACGGGTCCGCCCGCCCCGAGAGACGGAGGGGTGCGGCCTCGCAGCCTCCCGCCCGGCCCCCCACCCCGATCCCGCCGCCTCCCCCCGCCCCGGCCCCCCACCGCAGGTCCCGCGGCTTCCTGGCCTCCACCCACGCAGCGTCGGTGGGGTATGGGCGGGGCATGGGCGGGGCGGAGCCCGGAGTTGGACCGCCCTGCTCAGCCAACCCACCTGGGCTGGCTGGTGTCACAGGCTGTCCTCTCTGAGAAGCAGAGCAGCAAAGGAGACCTCGGCGGCTGCGTGTCCAAATCTCCCTGCAAGCCCATACCCCGCTGAAACTGCCTGTTCCTTTGGGAAGCCCCAACGAGGGCCGCCAGAGGAGGGGCAGACTGGGGACGTTGAACACAGCCCATAGTTTACTGAGCATGGACTGTGTGCCAGACACTATTCTGGATGCTTGGAGACCCGGTGGCCGACAAAAAATGCTGTCTCTCCTAGTGTAGCTCGCGGGGGGGGGGGAGGGGGGGTAGGGTGGTGTCCGGGCTTATGCTAACTGAGAACTAGTGTTTGCAGGACAGCGCACTGATGGACGTGATGGGTAGCAGGCCCCCTGCCAGATGGGATGATCTGGGAAGGCTGTGTGAAGAAGCGATGCTTGATTGTCACTTTAAAAAGATGCCTGTGGCTGCTGTGAGGAGAGCAGACGGCCAGAGGGATCTGGGGGCAGGCGGAGGATGCCAGGGATGCTGGTGGCTTGGGCAGGGCCAAATCTGGAGGACCAGGAGGGCCAGGATGTGGGTTTTGCCAGCAGACTAGACGGAGCTGTGAGACAGGAGTCAAGGGTGACTTCAGGGACTGAGCTATAGAGGAGATGGAAGGCAGTGAACTTTTCCTGAGCTGGAGAACGCTTGGGGGAAGGGCAGGAAGATGGAACATCCTGTTCTGGCCTCACTGAGTCTGGGGGATCTATGTGACATCCGCATGGAAAAATCCAAGTGGCAGAGAGGCCAGGCAGGCGGCTCAAGTGTGGGTACCAGTCTTCAGTAGACCAGTGGACTTTGTAGCCTTGGGCCCGCATGAGATGCCCGAGGCTCAAGGCCAGGCCCGGCCAGCTCGATCTTCATGAGTTAGAGAGAGAATGTGGACAAGCAGGGAGGCTGCGGCAGAGCCGGGACAGGGCTGCAGGGCCGAGCGGCAGGAGGCCCTGGGACACGTGGCCTGAGAAGGCTCTGAGACGCGCAGCCGCGCCGAGGGCCCTGGGTAACAGTGGCCACGAGGGAGAGGAAGTGCCCGCTTACCAAACGGGAGCTCAAGCTCCGTCTCTAGTGTGACAGGTGAGGGAAGCCCTGGGCGGGGCCCTGAGTCCCCAAGCAGCCAAGACGGTTGTCTCCAGTGGATCATGGCAGGGCTAAGAGGAGTTCCTGGGGAGTGCTCTTGGTAGTCCACTTGGGAAGGGGGGCAGGGAGGAAGAGGCCTGGATGAAGGGGGGTGCATTTGGTTCAGGCCTGAGGAGAGGTTGGTCTGATACAGCAGGAGTTGGATCAAGGTGTTGAGAGCCTGGGTGGTGGGAGCAGGCTGAAAAATCCCTCCCTCAGGCAGCCTCCGTTTTGCAGCTGAGCAGACCTACGTCAGGCTGGAGGTGAACCCGGAGGAGCAGAGCCCACCCAGCTGGAGGTGCGGCTGCAGGCCAGGGATCCAGGGCCTCAGACACCCCGGCAGGTGCCTGCCAGGCTTCAAGGAGCCGGGAGAGGGGTCGGGTTTCCTGTGTGTGGGGGGAAGGGGAGGGAGGCATTCCAGCCTGCAGGCCCTCTGCTGGGGTCAGGTCGGGGGTAATGGAGGGGCCGTCATGGGATAGAGGGTCTGTCTCTCCCCTTCGACGGGGTCGATCAGGCAGGAGCCTGGTTTGGGGCTGAGGAGGCACACTCCTGGGAGCCCCAGATGGGGGGCAGGACATGCCAGGGAAGCACAGATTCTACTGCAGATCTTCCGTCCTGCCCGGAGGGTCCTCTCCCGGAGAGCCTGGGGAGTCCCCAGGTGGGGACTCAGGCCCAGTAGGAGGCAGAGCAGGGCCTGGGGCGCGCCATCACCATGAGTCCGGGCTTTCCCGTCCAGCGTCAGGCCCAGGACTGGCCGCTCTGGAGGCACCAGGTCCGTGGCTCCCACCCCTGGCACCTCCAGACAGTTCATTACAGAAAGACGCCCCAGGCTCCACACGTTCCCGGGAGCCAGACTGCCCCAGGAAGGTGGTGCGCTGGGTGCTGACAGCTTTTACTGCGTCTGTCTGTCCTGAGCAACAGGGCCGCCTCCTCTCTCCTGGGCTGAGGACTGTGGCAGGAGGGGCCTGTGGTCCCTTGCTGGCCTGGGGCCCCTGCCTGCTGCAGAGTAAGGACAGCGGGGTGTCCAGGTCTGGAGACCCCCAGAGGACCCCTTCCTCCCCTGTCCTACAGGCGGGACAGCACCCTCTGCCTGCCCACGGAGCCCACCTTCCTCTCAGGGCTCTCACATCAGGAGAGACAACCCCAAAACCTGGGGTCATCCCTGCCCGCTCCCCCCCACACAGGGAACCCTCCAGCCCTCCCCCCACCCCTAAGTCAGCTTTTCTTTCCTGGGACAGCCCAGATCTGACTCCGTTCACTCACTTCCTTCCCTACCAGCCTCAGTGTTCTGTTAAGAGAGAGAGAGGGAGGGCGCTGGAAATGCCCCCCACTCCAGGAAGCCTCCCTGAAGAGATCAGAGCTCACCTACCTTCTGTTAGGGCCTCGTGCACTCAATTTTTAAATGTTATTTTATTCCGAAGGCAGCACAGGCCTGAAGCAGAAACACGGTGAGTGCTGAGGGCGCAGTGTCTTCCTGTGGATGACATGGGGCGCCCTCACAAGGCCTTCCCCCCACCCCCACTGCTGTGGGTGGGCCTCACCTCAGCTCCAGCCCGCGCCCCCAGGAGCAGCTGCGTCCCCGGTGGCCCTTCCTGTCTGGGTCATGGGATATTTTTAGCATTGATTCCGGAACTCACTCGGCAGCAGCTGCTCGTGGCCAGAGGGTAAGAAGGACACACAGTCCAGGTGAGCTGCATCAGGCCTGCCCAGCAGATGGGGCGACTGGGGTCTGGCCTTCTGAGCCTGGTAGTAGAATCGACCTTCCAGGAATTTGAGGGTCTCCAAGTGGGCTGGGGAAGGCAGGGGGGCCATCAAGATGGAGGAGGAGGATAGACAGCTCGTGCAAAGGTCCTGGGGCAGCTGGAGGAACAGAGGCGGGGGAGGGGGGGAGCGGGGCTGCACGTGCTGAGAGGCTGGCCCACCGGGCACTGCAGGCTGTGGTCTCCGTTCCGCGGGCAGTGAGGACCCTCAGTGAGGTGGGGTCAGATGGCAGCTGGCTCTCTGAAGGAAGCCGGGGGTCAGAGGAGAAGATGGCCACAGCCTGCAGTGCCAGGCGCTAGACAGAGACAGTGGAAGGGTCCAGGAGGCAGGAGGCACAGACCTCAGTAAGCGCCTGGCCCGGTGAGGGAGCTGAGACGGGGAGGGCCAGGTCCAGTTCAAAGACTAAGCTGCCCTGCCGCCTCTGGGCTCCTGTCATGGAATCCTGACAAGCGGCTCTGCACCCAGCCTGCTCCCTGGCTGAGCAGTGGGGCCTGGGGCTCCCCGCCCGGCCCTTGGTTGGCTGGACGAAGCAGTCTCTCCCAGCTGCCGGGCCAGCCTGACCCTCAGTGCACAGCTGTCACAACCCTTGACAACTGCCCCTCGTTCCCGCTCGCCACCGTGGCCACCGCCCGATCGGCAGAGCCGCCTCCAGCTGGCACCCAGACCGGCTGGCGGGGCCTCCCCCTCCTCCGCCTGGGCTATTTTCGGGCTCAGTGTGGCTGCGGGGCCGTGTTTTGGAAGATTATCTGCTTGGCCAAGTCGGCCAAGTGGCAGGGCTGGGGATGCAAGTTCACGGAGACACGTGTGTCCCTGCATGGGTCTGCCCTCCCTGCCCCCGCCCGCTGGGCTGCACGTGGGATCCGGTCCACTTGAAACCTAAGGCCATGCTGTCCCATAGCCTTCCTTAGCCATTGCCGGCTGGCCAGGTCATCAGGCAGTTCCGGCCTGTGGTCTGGCAGTGACCTGGAAGGCCAGGGCCACCACTCTGGGAGCCTTCGCCCAGAACCAGTGACTCAGCGCTCAGAGAGGCCCGGGGCGCCACACCTCCTTCCTGGCTTGTCCCCCCCCCCGCCCCGACAGCCCTGCTCCCACACCCGGGAGAGGGAGCCCCAGGTGGGTGCGTGGGCAGGAACCCTGTGCCCTCAGGGCCCTGGAAACACCATCCCAAGCCCTGCTGCCAGTTTACTCAAGACTTTCTCCCAGCCTCACCCGCCCTCCGCTTGTGTGAGGTATCGGGGCCTCTTTAAAAAAAAAAAAAAATGCAAAATTACAGATCTAAGATTAGGTACGAAAGTACCTCGTTTGCTTAGAATACGGATAAACAAAACAAGCGACAAGTTCGTTAAAGGTAATAAATAGCACTTCATATCAAAGCCGGACAAAATCCCCTCCCTGGTCAGAAGCAGGGGCTGGTGAGAGAGGAGCCCAGTTAACCAGGCCCCAGGGGAAACAGGCTAGGGTGTGGGGAAGGCCTGGGGAAGCGGGGGGATGGGCCCAGGAAGGGGTAGGCTCCCTGTTCAGCTCTGTCCCAGACCTGTCCAGGTGGCCTGGCCACAGGGGACTGGTTGCTTTGGTGTTCTCCCCTCTCCCCCGCTCCATGGGCCCTGCTGGGAGGGGGCCTCCCCCAGCAAGGAATGCGGGTGTCAGCCCTCCAGACGCTGGTCTAACCGCCATCCCCACCGCCCCCCACCACCCTTTGCCTCCAGATGTGGGCACAGCTGTATTTTTAGAACAGCCAGCCACGAGGACATTCTTTCCTTCTGATTAAGACGGCTTTAAGACTCTGGTCAGCAATCACAATCGGCTCCACTGCTCAGTCTTCAAGTGTCAAAGGGTGGCCAGGAGGGGCTGCTCACCCGGTGGTTGCTTGAGGTTTTTCTTTCTTTCTGTCTTCTGAATTGTTAAGTTGGAAACGTGACCCAGAACTGGAGTGGATGCCAGTTCGTTAGGAGGAGGGGGAGGGGGGAGGGGGGCAGGTGAGGGGAGGAGAGGGCGAGGAGGGCAGAGCTGGGTCTTGGGGTAGAGCCTGCAGGGGCTGCCCCCAGGCTGTGCCCTCCACACTTGGCCAGGTCCACAGGTGGGCCAGGCGTGTCTGGAGATAAAGGGGGGGGGGGTACCTGCCCTCAGGATGCTGGGTGCAGGCAGTCAGTAGACACACGTGGGGCCTGAGGACACAGCACCTGTGCAGGGGGCAGGTCAGTTATTATGATGTCCCCATTTCACAGGTGAGCAGACAGAGGCTGGGAGACAGGAAGTAAGTGCTGGGATTGCAGGGGCTCCATTGGGATCCACCACAACCAGGCCCGTCACCGGCGTGCTGAGCTTGGCGGTGGCTCACTCCCCACCTTGGCAGCCTGGTGGCCAAGGTCAGCTGGCCTCTGAGCTCCGCCCAGTGCCCCCTATGGAGGCTGCTGGAGTGGAGTAAAGATACCAGCCCAAGTGGGAAGGCTACAAGGAGGAGGGGACTTCAAGCAGCCTGGAACGGCTCTTGAGCCCTTTCTGGAAAGCACCGCTGACCAAGAAGGACACTGAGGTCAGAGAAGGGGCAGTTAGGTCAAATCCATTCGGCCCATCGGTGGTCAGGAGTGGTAGGGACCCAGCTACCACTCCACCCGAAGATGGGCGTCCCGCTGACAGGCTGAAGGGCAGATCAGGGCTTCTGGGGTCCAGCCTGGGCCCTGGCTCCAGGCCTTAGGCCTCTACGGAGACTCCTGTCCCATGACCTCACAGATCAGAGAGGGAAGGCAGGCAGCGAGGCAGAGGCAGGGTGGGCTGGGGAGCAGACATTCCAAGCCCCCTCCAAGGCCCTGGCTCACCGGCGAGGCGCAGGCTAGGTGAGCAGGACAGAGGAAGTGAAATCACCCGGGGCTCACGGAACCGGGGATGCCCAGACTCAGCCAGGAGCCACGGGGTCAGCTCCCACTGGAGGGCCCGGCACCTGGCGGGGCGCCGGCTCAAGCCTCTTTGTCTACGCCACGGAGCCCCAGAAGGTCCCGCCGTGCCGACGCTGGCAGCATGGGCTTTGTCGGCCCCTCGCGGCGGGAGAGGGTCTCTGCGGCGTGGGTGGGTCCCTGGGAGCTCGCGCCCGGGGGCAGTCTGGACGGGTCACCCGCGAGTCTGGAGGCCACATCTCTGGGGACGTCTCCGAGCCCGGGTAGTGATGGAGACCTCATCTGGGGAAACGGGCTTGGATCGACCAGGCGGCCCTGCCGCTTCTGCGGGGCTAGAAGTAGCCAGTGGCTTTTTGGGGCAAGGACCTGGTGGAGCCCTCCAGCCGGCTTTGCGGTATTGATGGCCTGCGGTGCGAGCCGTTGCTGCTCCCGCCTCCCGCTGAATGCTGGGCGCGGGCCTCCCCGGCCTCCGCCCTCCCCGCCGCTCTGGTTCTGTTTCCCAGTCTGCAGAATAAGAGGCTCTGGCGTGTAGAAGCGAGCGTGCCTGGCTCCCAGGGCTGGGAAGGGGCGCCACCACCCACGCTGGCCGCGGGCGTGGAGGTCCTGAGCACGGTGGCCATGGGCAGGCCGCCCCTCCTCCCCTGCTGCCTTCTCCGCCTTCCCACCCGGGAAACCGACAGTGGGTGGGAATCCACGCGGGAAGGCCCGCGGGGGAGGCGGCTGTCCACGCTCCCCCAACTTGGGCGTGGTTTGGCCGCCCCATCCCGCAGGGTCTGCTGCACCGCACTTGAGATCTGACAGCCCAGCCCGGACTTCCAGCACATCTGGCGGGGGCGCCAGATGGGGTACAGGATGCGGGCGCCCCCTTGTGGAGTCTCAGGGACTCCTCCGTAAGGGAGGCTGAGGCCACCCCGTGTGGGGCGTTGAGAGGATTCGTCATCAGCAGCGGGCGGCCACCAGCACTCACACCCTTGGGTTTCACATGCTGAAGGTTAAACTCACCGTTAATGCTTGCCGAAGAGAAACCTCAAGGTTCCTTGCTCAAGGGTAATAATTAGTGTCTGGGGAGCCCACACACTGAGGGGGTGGGGGTGGGGGAGCTGACTCCAGCGAGGTGTCCAGGCGGCATCTGGCGGTGGGGGGTAGGGAGTCGGAGCGAGTGCTATTACAGCAGTGGATCGTCTCAAGAGATGCAGAAAGGCGAGCACTTAGCAATTGCTAATATTTTATCTTGTGTATTTTTCCTTAAAAATGCATGACGCTTCACAAGTTCAGAGCAACGCAAATGAAACCCAAGCAGGAGCAAGAGAACTGCTGCATCATCCCTTGCGGAGTATGTCCCCTCACATCTTCGCTCAGATGACCTCCTGGGGTGGCTTTCCGGTCTATGTCTCCATGACCACAAATAGCCTATTTGGCAGGTCTGGTTTAGGTTTGACCTTAATCGACCTCCTGGATCCAAGCAGGACCTGGGAAGCCCTAAGAAATGAAAGATTAATCCGGCCCAGCGGACCCGGTAGTTGCTCACCTGACAAAGTCCGCTGGACTGGACTCATCTTGTTTCCGGGGCCAGAGCGGCTTCGCACACAATGCATGCCTGGGCTGCAACCCGAGACCCGCTCTCCCATCCGGGTTCCTAGTCCGCGGCTCTGCCGGAGACGGACAGATGAGAGCGCTCCGGAGACTGGTGGGTCGGCCTTTCGTCCCTCCGAATCCTGCCCCTCCTCCGTGGAAAGGGCACGGGGACACCTGGGCTGGAGGAGCGTGGGGATGTCCGCCTAGAATCAAGGGCTCGGCCTCAGAGTGCCCTGGGACGGAGACCTCCCGGGGACGGGGCCCTCCCAGGGACAGGGGTCTCCCGGAACCTGGCAGAGGGCGGGGGCGCCAGATGGAGGTGAGAGGCGGCCCCGAAGAGGGGCCGGAAGGGGCCGCGGCGGAGGTCCACAGAAGGGCGCGGCAGGGACCGGCAGAGAGTCGGTCCGGAGGCCGCAGCGGGGCAGGGCTCGGCGAACCAGGGCTGGGATTTCGGGCGAGTCCCGAGCGCGCTGATCAGAGCCGCCAGCCAAGACTTGGGGGGGGGGGGGGGTGCGGGCGGCGGAGGCAGGCTGTTTGTTGGGCGAGAAGTCCCCGGATCGGAGCTCCCTTCCGGTCTGCAGAGGTGGGCCCGGGCTGGCCCTCGGAGCTGCAGAAACCGGGGGATGGAGGATGCGCGCGAGCCGTCTCATCCCGGATACCGCCTCGGACCCTGGAGACCCGCTCGCGGGCCCCCCACCCCTCACGCCCTATGCGCCTGCGCGCGCGTTAAGGTGCGCCTTGCCTCCAGCCTTCGCAAACGCCCACGGCACAAGCGCCTCGCCATCCCCTCGGGTCCGCTTCGGCCGAAAGTCTGGCTGGGGCGCAGGGTGCTGGACCTGTCCCCCACCAGCATCCCTTAGGTTCTCGTGCGAGCTGGACAGCGCCCCTAGACGCGGGAGCCCCTGGCCACTGCACCCGCTCCTCGTCCGGTCCGGGGCCTGTCTCCCACCTTCATCTACTCCACGCTCCCCCTGAACTCCGTCTCCAGTCACCTCCTGCTTCACCCAGGGAGCCAGGCATCCGGAAGAGCACGTTCACACCGCCCACCACCCCACCCCGGGGGGTTTCCCCACCAGGGGAGCTCCTTCAGACCCCTGCACGGCGCCTCCCCTCGTCTCCTTGGTCCTCGTGTGGGACCACGTGTCCCCAGACCCCGCCCCCTCCCCTTCCCCTTCTCTGTGTGTGTGTGTGTCTGCACCAGCTCAGTGCAGTTCAGTTCAGTCGCTCAGCCGCGTCTTTGCGACCCCGTGAATCTCAGCACGCCAGGCCTCCCTGTCCGTCACCAACTCCCGGAGCTTACTCAAACTCATGCCCCAGCTAACACCCTACATATTTTCCTTGTTCATTTATTACTGCCTGTCATTCCCCCGCTGGAAGGAAGGTTCCATCAGATCCCGGATTTCGTCTCTTTGGTTCACTGCTGTATCCTCGGCACCTAGAGCCGTGGATTCATTGCCCAGAGTGGGGAGGCAAGCCATCTTTACTCACTGAATGACTCCTCCCCACCATAGTTAATGTTTGAAGGCTGTCCACGGCCAGTCGCCCCAGGCCTAGGCCGTCTCCATGCACAGTCTCAGGGAATTCAGTAATTTATGCTGCCTTGGAGACCCGCCAGCCTCCTCCCTGCCCAAGGGCCGAGTTCTCACTGGGGGACTTGCTGCGTCCTGCGGATCTGCGCCCCCAGTGGGCCTCTCACCGGCAGGCGGCCCAGCAGGGAGCTTCTGCCTGACTCCAGTGAGACTGGACTCCTGGGTTCCCACCCTGCTTGGGAGGAAGTCACTTAGCCTGGCGGCCAGCCAGGGTGCCCGGTACAAACCTGCCCGCAGACTGATGGCAACATCTTTGGCAGGGTCCTGCCCTGGGAACCCTTGCCCCCGCCTCCCCACCTCAGCCCAGTTTCTCACCACCCAGTGAAAGCAGGTCTGTTTCCACCCCTCCATCCCCACCCGGCCCCCATATCTGCCCCCCAGCTCAGTTCCTGGCTGGGTCAGGCACTGGGTATTCATCAGATGAATGAGTAAGTAGCCTCAGGTTCTGGAAATTTTTCACAAAGTCCTGAGCCAAACATCCTTCTGCTATGAAACTTGCATTTAAGTATTAAAAAAAGTAATAAATATGACACAGTACTTTATACCTGGGGGACAATTTTCCAGAACAAGAAAGGTAGTATAGAGTTACTGGGAAAAGATCAACAATCCAATTTTTGTATAGTTAACTACTTTGTGAGTGTCTCGTGAAATATCTGAGGGAAGCAGGTCACTGCTCTTTGCGAGTGGAGAAGCTTCAGTGTGTACTGAGCTTTCAAAAGATTTAATGAGTGAGTGTGTGTATGTGTGTGTGTGTGTGCATGCTAACTTGCTTCAGTTGTATCTGACTCTGTGCAACCCCATGGACTCTGGCTCACCAGGCCCCTCTGTCCATGGGACTCTCCAGGCCGGAATACTGGAGTGGGTTGCCATGCCCTCCTCCAGGGCATCTTCCTCACCCAGGGATCAAACCCAGGTCTCCTGCATCTCCTGCAGTACGTGTGGATTCTTTCCCGCTGTGCCACCAGGGAAGCCACTTACTGAGCATACTATTTTGTAATAAAAATGGCAAGATGGGGACTTCCCTGATGGTCCAGTGGTTAAGACCTCACTTCCCAATGCAGGAGGTGCTGGTTTGATCCCTGGTCCTGGGAGCTGAGATCCCACATACCTCTCGGCCAAAAAAAACCAAAACGTAAAACAGAAGCAATATTGTAATAAATGTAATAATACTTTGAAGAAATGACCCACATCAAAAAAATCTTTAAGTGGGGGGGTGGGAGGGAGACTCAAGAGGGAGAGGATATATTTATACTTAGAGCTGATTCGTGAAGCCAACACAACATTGTAAGGTAATTATTCTCCAATTAAAAATAAATTTTAAAAAGTGTGGAAGAAAATCTTAAAAAAATATATACGTAAGAGGCAAACCCTAAATAGATGGTGAATCCCTAGGAAAACTTAGCAACCTAACAACGGGGCACCAGGGTGCTGGGCCTCCTGGGGGTGCCTTGGGGAGCCCCCGCCTGTCTAGGGATGCTGCTCTAGGACGGGACGCTGCCCTCCTGTTGTACCAGGTGTGTGCGCCCGGCTGCCCCCCAGCCTGGAGGCCGCCATCAGCATCAGCAGGGCTGCGGCTGCTCTCGGCGGCTCAAGGTGCCTCCCAGGTCCCCACACGTGTAGGTCCACGTGGCCCCTTCTCTTAACAGAGGGGGGCACCCAGCCCGTCTGTGGAGACGGCTGCCCTGAGCGCAGCTTACCCGGTCTGCCAGAGGCAGAGCTTCACTCCCCTGGGGCCCCAGCTCAGGGTGTGGTCCCCGGAGCCACAGCAGGCACGCCCGGGGGGCAACTGGGCAAGGAGCTGGGGGCCGGGAATGGCTGTCCATCTCAGGAAAATGCGGTCAGGGCCGAGGGGCGGCGGGATCCCGGGCTCAGAGCAGAAGGTGAGGGGGGGGCCTCTGCCCCCTGCCCCAGGCTGTGACCCAGGCACCTCCTCTCTGCCTCCGTTTCTTCATCTGCAAAGTGGGGGCGTCACCACCGCCAGCTTCAGACAGGTCGCCATATGGGACTGGTGGGCTCCAGCCCCGCGGGACGGGGGTGGAGGCTGCCGTGAGTCACTGGGTCCTCTCCTCTCTCCCCAGGTCCAGGGCAGGGTCCTGCTCCTGACCATCTGTGCAGCTGGCATTGGTGGAACTTTCCAGTTTGGCTACAACCTCTCCATTATCAATGCCCCGACCTTGGTACGTACCCTGCATGCCCACTGTTACCATCCCAGTGTCAACAGCGGCCCACATCACATCTACAGGCCGCCATCCGCTTGGTGGAGCTTCCTCCCACGCCTCCACCTCCACTGGGCTGTTCCCCAGGCCTTGCGAGTTCAAATCCATCTCTGCCCTCTCTCCTGAAACTCACACATGCTCCTATGTCTCTGATGTCAGCAGACGACTGCTCCCGTCCCCCCAGTGGCAGGGGTCCACCCTGAGTCTGCCCTCTCTCCTGGAAAAGCACCAAGTCCTTCCTGACTCTCTCTGGCTTCCAGCCATTTCTCCTTGGGTCTCTGCCATGATCCCAGTTCAGACCCATCTTTCCTGCCTGGATGGCTTGCCCAGCCTCCCCACTGGCCTCCCCGCCCTCAGTCTCTCCCCTGTAGGTACTGTCAAGTCTGATCAAACCACTGCCCTGCTCAGAAACCTGTGACTCCCAGTGCCTGTAGGCATTCCTTGGGGGTTCAGATGATAAAGAATCTGTCTGCGCTACGGGAGACCCAGGTTCAATCCCTGAGTCAGGAAGATCTCCCGGAGAGGGGAATGTCAACACACTCCAGTCTTCTTAGTTGGAGAATTCCATGGACACAGGAGCCTGGTGGGCTATGGTCCACGTGGTCGCAAAGAGTCAGACATGACTGAGAAACTAATAAACACACACACACACACACATCTACCTGAAGCCCAAGGCCTCCTGGGGTCCGAACTTGTCCACCTGTCTCCCACCTTGATTCTTCCAACTCCGTGCCCAGAGCAGTTAAACACAGACCCCCCAGTGGGCCAAGCCCTCCCCGCCCCTCCTGCAGAAGCCCCTCAAGAGCCACCCAGATGCCATTACCTGCCTGGAGCCTTCCTTCAGCAAGCTCCCACCTGGGCTCAGCCTCCTGCTGGCCCCTGCTCGGGGTCCCATCGTCTCTGAGTCCCTAGCAAGCTCGCCGGGCCTGTGCCCATGCTCAGCAAGTGCCCGTGGAAAGGCGGCATCTCTCAGCCCAGTGATAGAAGCCGCCTCTGACCCACCTGACTGAGAAGGTCACGTGTCCCGTCACATAGCTGGGGCTGCAGGAAAAACAGGTCCCAGGACGGAACTGGGGCCCTCCTGTCCCTTCAGGGTTAGGGTTCCGGTGCAAGAGAACAACTGTCAGCAGACTCACTTCCCGTCCAGGGATGGAGCCCGGGGAACAAACGCCCCTCTGGCCTCCTCTGATACCCTGCTGATGCTCACCGACAGCCAAGTTGATCAGAAAGCTGGGGAGCCCACTGATGTGGCCCAGGTGGGTCTGGGGGAGAGACGGGGCTGATCCTGGGCTCGGAGGGACGACATAGACACAGGCCAGCTGTGAGCTCCAGAACACACTATGACCAAAACGGCACAGCGCCCCGCACTCAGGGGAGTTCTGTCCCCCCCACAGCGGGCAGGGTGGCTGGGGAGGCTGCCTGCCCTGTGGAGGCAGGGCCTGGGGGAGAAGGCCTGTTGTGGGGAGCCCCCACCCCAGGGTGGGGGGTTGCTGACCGGCATCTGTGTCCACAGCACATTCAGCAATTCACCAATGAGACGTGGCAGATGCGAACCGGCCAGCCGCTGCCCGACCACCTGGTCCTGCTCGTGTGGTCCCTCATCGTGTCCCTGTATCCCCTCGGGGGCCTCCTGGGAGCGCTGCTCGCTGGGCCCCTGGCCGTCACGCTGGGAAGGTGAGTGCTTCCCATGGACCCCCGAGGGCCTCTCGACGAGGGGCACCCCAGCCCACGGGCTGAGGGGTGGGGGCAGGACACCCAGCAGGCCCTGGCCCCGGTCAGCTCCGCACCGGCCGCTGGCTCTGCCTGCCACGTCACCGAGAACCCCACATTCCCCGGGGACGTGGTGGAGGGAAGAGACAGCGCCGGGAGGGAGGAAGCACCCACGGCTGACAGCACAACACAGCGCAGCCCAGCACCCGCTCAGCCAGGCCTCCCCGTCCATCACCAGTCCCGGAGCCCGCTCAAACTCACGTCCATCCAGTCGGTGATGCCATCCAGCCATCTCACCCTCTGTCGTCCCCTTCTCCTCCCGCCTTCAGTCTTTCCCAGCATCAGGGTCTTTGTCAATGAGTCAGCTCTTCGCATCAGGTGGCCAAAGTATTGGAGTTTCAGCTTCAGCATCAGTCCTTCCCATGTATATTCAGGACTGATTGCCTTTAGGATGGACTGGCTGGATCTCCTTGCAGTCCAAGGGACTCTCAATAGTCTTCTCCAATACCACAGTTCAAAAGCGTCAATTCTGTGCTCAGCTTTCTTCATGGTCCAGCTCTCACGTCCTTACATGACTGCTGGAAAGACCGTGGCTTTGACTAGACGTGACCGTGAACAGGTGGTTTCTCCCCGAGGCTCCCCTTTGTATCCACCTGAGGCAGTTCTTGGGTCGCAAGCCGGAGACAGACTCTGACTGAGGAATGGAAAGCTGTGAGAGCGCGGAGCGCCCTGAGGCAGCTCACCGGACGAAGGAGGTGCTTGGAAGCCGGCCTGGGGCGGGCCTGGGGCAGCGGGCCGAGGCCTGCAGCCTGGGCTCTCCTGGGGGGTCGGGAAGGTCACCTTGAGCACATCAGCTCCGGGCACACTGCGACTCCAGCATCTGCACTCGGCCTCAGAGTGCTGGGCCGAGTCAGCAGGAGAGACGGCAGGCCGGACTCCCACCATGCCCCCTTGGCTGGCCGCCCAGCACGCGTCAGCACCGTTCTCCTGGATCTTCGGCTCCCCTCGTGTGCCCCCTTCACGGTACCCAGTCCCGCCCTGAGCCCGCCCAGGGCACTGCCTCGCCACAGCCACCAGCGCCGACACAACCAAGCTGACCTGCCCGCACACGGGGTTTCCATGAGGCGGTCAGTCTGCGGTTCACCTCTCCATATCCTGCCGTCTACACGCCGATGGTGAACTTAACTGCCCTCAGGACTTCTCACGGGGAGAGAGCAGAAGAAAGAGTACAGCCAGACCGAGGGGAAGAAGCTAGCGGGTGAACCTAGCTTGGGGCACAGGACCCCCGAGCCTTGGGAACACAGGGTGTGGGGTCTGCTCCGGGGTCTTGGAGCCGCTCACGCTGCTGCCCGCCTCGCCGACGTCCATGCTCCAGTCTCCCAGACGGTATCGGCTCAGTACTTGCACGGGCTGCCGCTCTTTGCCCACCGGGGCGACCCCAGTCTTTGCGCCGGAGTGGGTGCGGCAGTCCTGCTGGCGTGGGTCCTGTAGCAGGCTCCACCCTCTGAGGTCAGCTCCTGCACGAGGCCCCTGAGATGACGCCGTCAGTCTCCCAGACGGTATCGGCTCAGTACTTGCACGGGCTGCCGCTCTTTGCCCACCAGGGCGACCCCAGTCTTTGCGCCGGAGTGGGTGCGGCAGTCCTGCTGGCGTGGGTCCTTTAGCAGGCTCCACCCTCTGAGGTCAGCTCCTGCACGAGGCCCCTGAGATGACGCCGGGCGCCGTGCGCTCTCGCCTGGCATCACTGAGGTAACCTCCGCTGTCAGAGGCGGGGGTGCACAGGACGTCGTGTTCGGGTGTTTGACAGAAGTGTCACCTGCAAGTGACAGAAAGCCGGGACTCAGTTGGCTAAAACGGCAGCCAGACACCCCAGTCTGATGTTTCTCCTCTACCAAGGCATAGCGACCAGTCAGGAGTTATTTCAGGTTAAGAAGATAATAATTCACTGAAGTTGTGGCTTTGCTTAAAAGTCCGAAGTCTTGCATTCTGATTCTCTGGAGGCACTTTGAGCACTACAGTCTCCCCAGTCTAGAGGGTCAAAGGGCAGAGCATCTGGCAGTTGGTCTGGACCGAATAGAAAACACTCCCCTCACAGGACCCGGGTTTGCAGATCACCCAGATGATGACACTCACCGTGGGACAAGCTGCCTCCAAACTGGAAAGAAGCCATCTGAGATTTTTCCATCCTTTTTTTTTTTTTTTTTTTTTTTAAATTACAAGCCGCCTCTGGCCCATTTCCCCATCAGGACCTGAGCTGCAGGATCTCCTGTGAGCTCTCCTGGTGACCTCAGGATGGCGCCTCCGAGCGCAGTGTCAGGAGCCCAGAGCCAACACCTCGTGTGGGAGGAGCCACCGACGGACCCAGTGCCCCCTCCCCAGTTTCCCAGTCTGTCCCGCTGAGCCAGCTGGGCAGGGGGCATCCAGGTGTCCTGGTGACTGTAATGAATGGAGGACATAGGAGGTTACTTGGCTTCTCCTCCTTTCCTTTGGTCTGAGGGTTTCATTTGGTCTGAAAAATAAGATATTAGGCACTTGGCTTTTCAACGGACTTTGAGGAGAGTGGTGCTCAGTCTGTAGGGATAAACCCATAAAATATGACTTCTGTCCGTTCAAGCTCTGGTAGAGGCAGAAAGGACAGTAATCTGGGGGTATACCGGGGATAGGGGGCTTCCCCGGTGGCTCAGATGGTGAAGAATCTGCCTGCAGTGCAGAAGACCAGGATTCGGTCCCTAGGTCGGGAAGATCCCCTGGAGGAGGGCATGGCAACCCACTCCAGTATTCTGGCCTGAAGAACCCCATGGACAGAGGAGCCTGGTGGGCTACAGTCCACGGGGTCGCAGAGTAGGACGTGACTGAAGCGACTTAGCATGCACCCACTGGGGCTGAGGGTGGGGTATCCCATGGGCGACCCCAGCTGCAGCGGCCAGTATCACTTCTGTGCAGGCAGCTCACACTCCACACACACACACACACAGGGGCGTGATCAGGGCTGGCCGCGTCTGCAGGGAAGGTCCTGGGGGTGGGGGGGTCATCCTTGGCCCTGAACCTGAGCCGGCCTCGCCTGGTTCTGCTTCCCCAAGGAAGAAGTCCCTGCTGGTGAACAACATCTTCGTGCTGGCCGCCGCGGGCCTGTTTGGCTTCAGCCGCAGAGCAGGCTCCTTCGAGATGATCATGCTGGGAAGACTGCTCGTGGGCATCAGCGCAGGTACGGGGTGGGCGTGGGGCCCTTTCCTTCCCGTTGCCCCTTATTCCTTTCATTCACTGATTTCTTTTCCAGGCGTGCTCACCATTGGTTTTTTTTTTTCAGAATGATTTAGTCATGATTTATCTTAAAAGGCTCATATAACTAGACACTTAAAGTGGATCTAGAGAAAATGGAAACGCTCTACAGGGCTGGGAGGACAAACATCCCGAGAAGGCTAAGTCGCGAGCTTCCTGGTGGTCAAAGTGTAGAGGCATGTAGGAGGAGATCTCTGGTCATCCCTACAGAAGCCGAGGAGCCTGCCAGGGACCTCAGGCTCCTGCAGGGGTTGGGGGTGGAGCAGAATTTTGAGCGTGTCCACCTGGGCTTTTAGGGGCGCCACCATCAGTTCCCTTGACGGCCTACTGTCTATACAGCCGGGTTCCAATGTCTTTATTAGGTGTCTATTCCTGTGACACAAAGCGCTCCACAATTCAATGGCTTAAAGCCAGCAATGCTGATTCACTCACGGTTCCTATGGGTGAGGAACCAGAGTGTCTTAGCCGGGGGGTCCTGGCTAGGGGCCGCTCGGGAGGCTGTAATGTGCCAGGTGGGGCTGTGGTCAGCTGAGGTTTGGCCGTGGCTGGTGGGCCTGCTGCTGAGATGCTGTCGCCCTTGTGTGCTGTCTCCGGGGGCCGTGCTCCCCAGCCTGCGCGGGTCTCCCAGCAGGGCTGCGGAGTGTCCGCACAGCGTGGCGGCTGGCTTCCTGCAGGGGAGGTGATGGGCGGCAGAGAGCCTGTGTGTGTGTGTGCATGCGTGTGTGTGTGTGTGTGTGTGCGTGCGCGTGCCTGCGAGGAGCGAGGCCCAGGGAGGCTTACGGCCTGATCTCAGGAGTCACACACCGTCAGCTTCGCCACGAAGCAGGTCAGTAACAGTCGCCCACGCTCAGGGATCGAGGGGCCAGGTCAGACGGTGCCTTTGTGCCCCGAGTCCCTGGCACCCCTACCTCAGTGTACCTCTGAGAATGTCTGGCCATCAGCGCAACCCCGTTCCCCTCAGCTCCCCCTGCTCGGAGGCGGGACCTTGTGGAGGACCTGTTTCCTGATCCGAGCTCAGGGAGGGGCTGCAGGAGCACTGCAGCCGTGTGCCTGGGCAGATGAAGGTGCCCCGGCACTGCCAGCTGCTGCCCTCTGGGGTGCGCAGGGGGGGCGCCCCACGGGGTGCCAGGTGCCTCTCTGGGGCAGGTGGGAGGGGGACAGCCTGCAGCTGATGGGCGCCGGCTCCCTCCCGCCCCTCCCACTCCCCAAGAGTGACCAGGGCTTCTCTCCCAGGACTCCTGGGGCAGGACTGGAGTCCTGCCTGCCTGACGGCGGGGTTTGGGGGGGCAGGGAAGCCCCCCAGAGCACTCAGGCTGAGGGAGCAGCCCTGGGGGCCCGTGGATGGGAACCTGGGGTGCCGACGGGGTGGGGGTCAGGGGTGGGGGAGCCCGTCCTGTGGCTGACCATCGCCCTGCATGGCCAGGTGTAAGCATGAACGTCCAGCCCATGTACCTTGGGGAGAGCGCCCCCAAGGAGCTCCGAGGGGCTGTCGCCATGACCTCCGCCATCTTCACCGCCCTGGGGCTCGTGATGGGTCAGGTGGTCGGACTCAGGTACACGCCCCCCCCACGCACGCTGAATGGTGAGAGGGCAGCCTGAACTTCCCCCCACTGCCAAGTAGATTCAGACGTGGCTTCCTTGGATGAAGGCATTGAAAGCCGTCCATGGGCTTCTGGCCAGCGGGGTGTCCGTCAGCCTCTTCCAGCCCCGAAGGACCAGGCAGCAGGGACAAGTCTGGACAGAGGACAGGGGGCAGGCTTGGGCTTTGAACGGGAGCGTGTACTGTTTGTCTCAGAAAAGAGAGGCGAGGGCAGAACCTGCTGCCCTGGGGAGAGCCCTGGAGAGAGGAGTCGCCAGGGATAAGGGGAGGCCACGGCCCTGCCCTGCCGTGCATCCCTAGCTGGGTGTGCGACCCAGAGCTGGCTAGGAGGAGGCACAGGGGAACGCAGACGCTGCCCTTGGGGGCGGGAGGGAACAGGGCTCTGGCCAGGCGGCGCTGGCCCAGCCTCTCCTTTCTCCCCAGGGAGCTCCTGGGTGGTCCGCAGGCCTGGCCCCTGCTGCTGGCCAGCTGCCTGGTGCCCGGGGCGCTCCAGCTGGCCTCCCTGCCCCTGCTCCCCGAAAGCCCACGCTACCTGCTCATTGACTGTGGAGACCCCGCAGCCTGTCAGGCAGGTGAGCCTCTGGCCTGGGTCCCCGGACCACCCTTGACCATGGGGCACATGTGGTCAGGGCACGCGGGTCCCTTTCTCATGTGGGAAAAGCCGTTGCTCTCTCTGCGCCCTCGTTTCAGGCTCCATCCGTCCCTTCCATGCTCTTTACAGGGGCTGTCCTGAGTGGCAGGGCAGCGGGAGGGGCAGACCCAGCCCCTGCCATCCAAGAAGCCCCATGGGGGTGTGAAGAAAGAGCCACAGGCAAGATGATGAAACCCCAAGCAAGGGCTCAAGGGCCCAATGCCAGCTAGGCTGGTGGTCTCACCTGCTAGCCAAGGCCACAGTAAGGATGCCCAAGGAACAATCCCCAAACCTCCGGCTTAAAACAGCAATCCTTTACGGTGGCCTCCTCTTGTTGGGCTGGGCTACATGACCCTGCTGATTTCAGCCGGGCTGGCCCAGGGTGCCAGGGTCAGCGGGGGCTAGCCAGTCCAGCCTGCTTTTGCTGGAGGTTTTGCTCATCTTGGTCACACTCGAGGGTCAGCGGGGCATCGGCTGATCTATGACGGTCCTAGATGGGCTAATCCTGCGGGCCAGAGCAAGTCACAGGGCAGAGCCAAGGGGCAGCATGCACACGCCCACTTAGTGGGTTCAGTTCAGTTCAGTTCAGTCGCTCAGTCGTGTCCAACTCTTTGCGACCCCATGAATCGCAGCATGCCAGGCCTCCCTGGCCATCACAACTCCTGGAGATTACTCAAATTCATGTCCATCGAGTCGGTGATGCCATCCAGCCATCTCATCCTCTGTCGTCCTGTTCTCCTCCTGCCCCCAATCCCTCCCAACATCAGGGTCTTTTCCAATGAGTCAACTTTTCGCATGAGGTGGCCAAAGTTTTGGAGTTTCAACTTCAGCATCAGTCCCTCCAATGAGCAGCTGCCAAATCCTGCAACCCCAGGGGTGGCGTGGGCATGGGGACCCCCGGAGAGCCGGGGCGGTAGTGGCGACCTGCCACAACTGCCCGGTGTGAGGCACCCGCAGACCTCCGGAGTTCTTAAAGCCTTTCTGGTCCATGGGGCTGTGAAGTGACCTGGCTGGGAAGGTTCCCCCTATCCTCCCCCTTTCCCATCCTCCCCTTCCCCTCCCCAGCGCTGCAGCGGCTGCGGGGCCCCGCGGACCTGGCCGGGGAGCTGGCGGAGCTGGAGCAGGAGCGCGCCGTCTGCCGGGGCGGGCGCGCGCGACGCCCATGGGAGCTGTTCCGGGAGCGCGCGCTGCGGCGGCAGGTGGCCAGCCTGGTGGTTCTGGGCGGAGCCATGGAGCTGTGCGGGAACGACGCGGTGAGCCGGCCGCGCGGGCCCGGGGAGTGAGGGCGGGCGGGGAAGGCGGGCAGCTGGGGCAGCTGCGGCCGGGCGTGGCGGGAGCCAGCGCGCAGCGGCCGCTCTCCCCGCAGATGTACGCCTACGCTTTGGCCGTGTTCAGCCAGGCGGGGATCTCGCAGGACAAGATCCAGTACGTGGCCATCGGGACCGGGGGCTGCGAGCTGCTGGCGACGCTGCTCAGCGTGAGTCTGCTGGGGGCTGACCCCCAGCGCCTAGCCCTGCGGCAGACCCTCGGGATGCTCACCTTGGGGATGCCGCCCCGCGGGGTGTTCACCTTGGGGTGCAGACCGTCGGGGTGCTCACGTTCGGGGTGCAGATTGTCGGGCTGCACACCCTCGGGGTGCTAATGCTCCAGGCACCACAGGCCTCCAAGCTAAGGCACTTCCACTTCAGGTCACTTTGTTAAAACGCAGGGAGTGAGCGAGCACTTATTGAGCACCTACTGTTTTCCGGTGTTCACACCACCATTTTGAGATGGAGAAACTGAATGGGGGTTGAGTGACCGAGGCCCTCTGCGAAATTATTAATGTCCTAATCCACGAAGTGCTAAACCGCGCCCACCCTCCTCCCCAGCTTCTGCCTGATGCCCCTGCCCACTGCGGCCCGTGGCCTAGGGGACCTTGCCCTGGGCTGCAGCGGTGAGTCAGCCAGGGCTCCTTCCCTTCGCAGTGCCTGGTGATTGAGAGGGCAGGCCGGCGGGTGCTGCTGACGGGGGGCTACGGCCTAATGACCTGCTGGGGGAGCGTCTTCACGGTGGCCCTGTGCCTTCAGGTAGCTGGGCCCTTTGGGCGGGAGGGGGGGGCTGGGCCCCCCCACTTTCCCTTCACCCCTCCCCCTGCCAGCAGGGCTCCTTCTCCTGGATGCCCTACCTGGCCATGGCCTGCGTCTTTGCCTCCATCCTCAGCTTTGGCATTGGCCCTGGTGAGTTGGGGCCCTGGGGCCTCCCTCCTCTGGGCCTGGCTGAAGGACCAGGGGTGTCTGGGTGAAGGATGGGTGGGCATGCCTAACCCTAATCCTCACCCCCCCCACACTCCCTGTGGCTGGAGGAGGGCTGGGGGGGCCCACTTTCTTGTCCAGGGGCAAGGTGGGGGGAGGCAGGCCAGGGAGCCCTGACTGGCAGCCCCCACGTCCCCACTCCCCCTTCCAGCCGGGGTGACCGGGATCCTGGCCACGGAGCTGTTTGACCAGATGGCCCGGCCTGCTGCCTACATGGTCTGCGGGGCGCTCATGTGGACCATGCTGTTCCTGGTGGGGCTGGCGTTCCCCTTCATCATGGTAGGCCTGCCTGCCCCTGCCCCCCCGGGGGGCCTGCCTTTGTTTTGTCCCTGTCTGCGTGAGAACCGCCCCCCCAGGGAGGCTCCATCCATCCGGGGAGTGTGAGCCTGAAGGGAATGGGGTCACCTTAGCCAAGAGGGTGGAGGCCCTCGCCGGGGCCTGTGCTGGAGCCTCCCGTGCGGCGGGGGCTCCAGGGGCCACAGCAGGCCTGGGGTCTCTTTCAACCCCCAGGAGGGCTTGTCCCACTTCATCTATGTGCCTTTCCTCTGTGTCTGCGTCTGCGCGGCCGTGTACTCGGGCCTCTTCCTCCCTGAGACCAGAGGCAAGAGCTTCGTGGAGATCTCGGAGGAGCTGCACAGACTCAACTTCCCAGGGAGGGGCCGAGGCCTGGCGTGGGCTGGCCCCGAGGTCGTCAGGTCCACGGAGCTGTAGCCCGGTGGCGCGGTGGGTGCCAGCCCCAGGCCCGCCCCCTCCTGTGGGGCCCCTGGGTGTGCAGGCCTGGTGCTCAGCCTCAGAGGGATGGTTTCGGGGGCCTCTTGGCGCCCCTGTCTGGAGGCCGTTGGCAGGAAACCAACAAAAACATAGACTCAGAGAAACACAGCGGAAGAAAATACAGCTTGGGAAGCCTTTGAGAGGGGCATGGTCACAAAAGGATTTTCTGAGGAATTGATTTTTTTTTAAATCAACTTCATTGAGGTGTAATTTACATACAATAAAGTGCATTCACAGTAAGTGCACATTTGATGAGTTTTGACAGGTGTGCACACCTGTGAACCACCACCTTGACCAAGGGAGACCATTCACATCATCCCTCCTGCCTCTGTGTGATCAGTATCTCCCCCACCCCCTGCAACCTCGGACCTGCCTTCTGTCACTGGAGGTCAGATTTCTTTTCCAGACAATTTGACAAAATTCCACACTGTGTGTATGTGTCTATGTCTTGTCTTGCTCCAGATAAAGTCTTTGAAATTCATGCATATTGTTGCATGTATTAGCACATATCCCTTTGTATGGCTGAGTAGTATTTCAGTGTATGGATGTACCATAATTTAGTAACCCATTTGGACTGTTTTTAATTGTTGACCACGATGAATAAACCTGCTGTGAACATTTCTGCACAAGTTGTGTAGATGTGTGCCTTCATTTCTTTTGGGTTAGTGAATTGCTGAGTATAATAATGAATGCATGTTTACCTGTAGAAGAAACTTTTCCAGAGTGATTATACTGTTTTACATTCCCACTAGCCATCCACAAGACTTCTAGAACCTCCAAGTCCTCCTCAGCACTTGGCATCATCAGTCTCTTCAATCCAGCCATCCTACTGAGTGTAGTGGCACCTCGTGGCGTAATTGTGGGATTTCCTTGATGGGTAATGATGCTGAGCATCTGTTTACATACTAACACAAATGGCACGCCATGCACAGATCTCCTTTGGTGAAGAATCTGTTCAAATCTTTTGCCCATTATTTTAAAAAAAATTTTTGTGAGCAGTTTTAATTTGACAGCAAAATGGAGAGGAAACTACAGAGATTTCCCGTGTGCCCTGGGCCCCATACATGCACAGCCTCTCATTATCAGCGTCCCCCACCAGAGTGGATGTTTGTCACAACTCACGACCTTATGTTGATACGTCATTATTATCCAAAGTCCACGGTTTACGGGGTTTTTGCCCCTGTATTTTGCATGCTAATTTTTAGCTACTTTTTTCCACGATAATTTTCTCTCCTGTACATGCTGTGAGTCTACACAGATGTATGGTGACGTGTATGCACTCTCTGCTCTACGTGGTCATCCCTTTCCTGCGCTGCACAACCCCTGTCAATCACTGATCTTTTTACAGTCTACAATTGTCGTTTCTCCGGAATGTCAAATAGTTGGAATCCTGCAGTATGCAGCCTTCTCAGATTGGGTTCTTTCACTTAGTAATGTGCATTTAAGTTTCTTGCCTGTCTTTTTATAGCTTTTAAAAGTTCATTTCTTTTTGCACTGAGTAAAATTCCATTCTCCAGATGTCCCACAGTTTTATTTTTGGTTGCTTTTGGAAATTATGAGCAAAGTAACTATATGCGTCCATGTGCAGGTTTTTTTATGGACATACATTCTCACCTCGTTCGGTTAAATACCAAGAAGCATGATTGCTGGATCATAGAACCCACTAAACTCTCCTAGAAAGTGGCTGTACCATTCTAATTCCCACCAGCAACGAGTGAGTGTTCCTGTTGCTCCATACCCTCACCAACGTTAGGTGTCAGTGTTCCGGATTTTGGCCATTCTGTAAATAATGGGTACCTGGAGGCAGTATTTTGTTGTAGTTTGCACCTCCCTGAGTTCAAACCTGGAGCATCTTTTCATATGCTTATTTTCCATCTGTATATATCTTCTTTGGTGAGTATCCCTTTATTTTTTATTTTTTTGTGAGTATCCCTTTAGAGTGACCCGTTTTTAAAAAAAGAATCTTCTTTTTTAAAAGAATTGTTTCTTTTGGCCGAGCCGGGTCTTTCCTGCTGCTCGGGCTTTGCCTCGAGTTGCCGCGACGGGCTCCTCCTCACAGTGGCTGCCCTCACTGCGGAGCTCGGGCTCCAGGGCGAGCAGCCTGCAGTACTTTCGGTGTGTCGGCTCAGTAGCTGCGGCCCCTTCCACCCTGGAGCACGGGCTCAGTACTTGTGGCACACGGGCTTAGTTGCTCAGCAGCATGTGGGATCTTCCTGGACCAGGGATCAAACCCGTGTCTCCTGCATTGACAGACAGATTTTCTTTTTTTCTAACCAGTAAGCCACCAGCGAAGCCCCTGTTGGTCAGTTTTTAAAAATCAAGTTGTTTGCTTTCTTAAGGTTGAGTTTTAAGACTTCTTCGTATATTTTGGACAATAGCCTTTGATCAGATGCATCTTTTGCAGATATTTTCTCCCAGTCTGTGGCTTGCCCTTCTGTTTTCTTGACAGTGCCTTCCACAGAGCAGACGTTTTTATTTTTTATTTTTTTTACATTTTTAATTTTAAAAAAGATGAGCTTATTAATTCTTTCATGGGTCGTGTTGTATCTAAAAATCATCACCAAATCCATAGTTGTCTAGATTTTCTCCTAGAGTCCACCAGTATTTTTAGCTGCGCCCCACAGCTTGCAGGATCTCAGTTCCCCAACCAGGGGTTGAACCCTGGGCCTTTGGCAGTGAAAAGGGCCAAGTTCCAACCACGGGGCCACTGGGGAACTCTACTATTCATTTACTGGTAATGGATGTGCAGTGGTGCTGGCATCGTTCACTGAAAAGACCCTTTTCCCCTGTTGGATTAGCTTGGCACCTAGGTACAAAAGCCAGCCGGCCACTGTGTGTCACAAAGACTTTGCTGGCTTTCACAGGAAGCAGTGGCCACCAGGTTAGCAGGAGTGGCAGGCACTGGGCCCTTCAGGGAGTGAGAACTCTCTGAGCCAGTTTCAGGGGAGGTCTCGTGGAGAAGTCACCAGTGGACAGGCCCAGCTGCGGTTCCCTTGGAGGCAGGCGTGTTGTAGGATGCGAATGAGGGCCTCTGGGTCCAGTCACTGCAGTGCTTTCTGGAAGGCAGGAGTCAGCACTCTGGGAGCCCTCCGTGGGGTCTCCCAGCCTCTGCCCTCCATCTGCCCCAGCTTTGCCTCTGCTGACTGGCCTCTCTGGATCCTCCTTGGGCTCCAGGGGACATTACGGGCCTCACAATCCCAGGGTGTACGGGCTAGGGGCAGGGCAGGCATCCGGCCGTGTCTCGGGTCTGGGCCTGCATTGGTCACACTCCAGTGCGCTGCTCCCCAGCATGGGCTGCAGAAACGCGCCCAGCCCAGGCCCAGCCCTTGGGCCACATCCCCCTTGCCATCCACCTAGCTAAACTGGCTGTGGGAATGTGTGTGTGGGGGGGGGGGGCGTTGGGAGTCCTTGTTGCCTAGGGAACGCCCCCAGCAGGGCAAGGAGATAGGGATGGGACTCCGAAGGTAGGAGAGGCTATGCCAGGGGAGGTGGATGAGACACGCCTGGCCTTGGCTTTGATGGGATGGGGGCGGGGCGGGAGTGGGGAAAGCCCAAGGCCACCATCAGGGTCAGGCCCGTTAGTCCATTTGCTGCTCCAGGACACTTGGTGACAATGCAGTAAGATCAGGTAGCATTTACTGAGCACCTACTGCATGCGGGTGCTTTGTGCATGTCCTTTAATGTCTCACATCTTCACCCACGTGTGTGGGAGAGGAGTTCCCCGATTTTGAAGTTTTCTGGCTGAGACTCAGAGAGTTCGTTCACAAGGTTCAGCCCAGATCGCCCCCTCTGAACCGTGTCCCGATCTGTTGGGAGACCTGACCAGGCCTGCTAGGACCCCGCTAAGCCTCAGCCCTGCTTCGGCAGTGCGGTGGTCTCCTGGCAGACACCCCTCTTAAAATCCGGTCCCTTCAGCTGGGATGGTGGCTCCCATAGCTCCTACTGCTATGACTAGAGGGGAGGGGGTTGACTTGGCTTGTCTTTGCCATACCTTTCACCGCACTCAGCAAACAAGAGCACAGGGGCCTGCCGAGGGCTCTGTGCCAGCTGGATCCTTCTACGAGAGATGAACCATGAGTGCTGGGGGAGGACAGCGGGGAACGAGGCTAGCAAAGGGGCCCTGGGAGCTGCCGGGCAGTGGACTGTCCATGGACGGGGACTAATGGCCAAGAGGACAGCAGTAGCCCTCCCCGGGCTCCCCTCCCAGCCCGGGTGACTCAGGTCCTGCCCTCGGAGATGTTCAAACCTGGGCCCAGCTGCCAGCCCTCTGGGCATGCTGGGTTCCCCGCGGTTGTTTCCCACATCCTGAGGTTTCCTTCCCTCCTGGTCTCTGCCTGCAGCCCTCACCTGTAGTCCCATCTGACTGCCCATCGGGCAGCCCGGTCCAGGTTCCCAGCGGGCAGGAGGAGGGGCGCGGGGAGGCAGCGCCATCTGCAGGCAGCTGCTCCCTGAGGAGTCTGCACATCACGTGGACACAGCTGCTGGGGGGCGGGGCGGGGACCACGCCCAGTTGCCAGTGGCTCCGGCGTTGAAGGTTCTAAGCAAACAGAAGCCGGAAGCTGTCGGTGAGGAGGGAGAGGACGGTGGGGGGTCCAAGGCCTCCTAGTGCACAGGCCCAGTTATTGTTCCGTGGCTAATTACAGAGCCCCTGGGGATACAAGGGTGATGCTGTTCTATTGCTCCTAGAACAAATAACCACAAATTGAGCAGCTTGAAACAACACACATTTATTATCTCACAGTTTCTGCAAGTCATCTGTTGAATGCAAAGTGACTGGCGTTCTGCTTCAGGCAAGTCAAGGCATCTCAGGACCGACTAGGGAGGAGCCCACTTCTGAGGTCATTCAGGATGCTGGCAGAATTCACTGTTGGCAGAATTCAGCTCCGGATGACTGAGGCCCCTTCATCTTCAAAGCCACTCAACAGCATTTCTGAGTCCTTCTGCTTTGAGGCTTTCTGACTGCCCCTTCCATCTCATCTGTGACTTGAGCTGGAGAAAATTCTCTGCTTTTAAGGGCTCATGTGATTACGTCGGCCCCACCCAGATAATCCACGATGTGTAAAGTTCCTACTGTAAAGTCTGTAACCCTAATTACATCTGAGAAGTCCCTTTTGCCACACAATGTAACATATTCACAGGTTCCAGAGATTAGGGCAAGGTGGTCTTCGGAGGCCCTCTGCCTGCTACTGAGTCATGTGCCAGAAGTCATGTGGCCCAGAAGTTGCCCCACTGCATGGAGCCTAGGAAGGAAACAGTACAGTAACTCACAGATAGAAACGGTGACAGCCTTCAAGGAGAGGGCTTTCCCGAGGAACGGAGCCCGAGGCAGCAGCGTTCCAAGAGCAAGGCCCAAGCCAGGGGCCAGGAGCACGGCACTGGAGGGCAGCACACAAGATTCAGAGAACCAAGGGAGGGCGGTGCAAGGCGCCGGGTGGGGACCAGGCCACCCAGGGCACCGTGACAGCACTGCCCCGAGGATCAGAAGGGACCATCGCCAGACGTTCGGCTACTCGATCCCCATCCTCTGTAAAGGGGGCTCTACCGTCATGCCCGAATTACCCGTGGGAAAACAGGCTCAGAGTGGCGAGTCAGGTGCCCACGCTAGGAAGAGGTGGGACTGGGAGCCTGCCACCTCCTCCAATGCCCTTCTACAGAGAAAGTACTGACACCCCTAGGAAGGTCGGGGTGAACCGAGGCGGTGCCGACCAGGGAAGGCTCCCGGTGCCACAGTAACGGCCTGAGGGCCCCAGGGGCTCACCTACCCATCATCGACGCCGGGTGTGTCTGCCGGGGTGCGGGCTTCCCCGTGTCACCCACTTCCACTACCAGAGAACCGTCAAGCAGGCGCTGGCTCCTGAATCTTCTGCTTGGAGTCACTTGGGTCACTTCTCTTCACGTACCACTGGGCAGGTCACATGACTGTATGGATCCACCGCCCCAGGCAGCTCACTGAGACTAGCAGGGGTGGGTGGGAGGGGTGAGGACCCCAGCACAGTGGAGGAAGGTCCATTTCACTGGCAGGCGATCAGGGGCAGGCGAAAGGCAAGAACCTGGATTTGAACATAGGGAACAGGCTGCGCGGGCTTGCCTTCTGGGGCTCAGGGGAGCACCCGAGCTGGAGACCGGCGCGGAGGGCATCCGTGGTTAACAGAGCCCTGGGCACAGGAAGCCTGCTGGGGTGAGAGCAGGGACGGAGGGGCCTGGGACCCGCGTTTTACAGAGCATCTGCCCAGCTGGGCCACAGGACCTCCTGCCTGAGCACGCCTGGTCCCACAGGCATGCGGGCCAATGTCCAGGCCAGCATGTGCAGGGCCCCCCTTAACCAGATCACACCTGCCAGAGACCAAGGGCAGGACCTCTCTGGAGAGATCTGAGACTTGGCCCAACCAGCATGCCGCCTCGAGCGCCCGACAGAGCTCCGCTCCCAGCGCAGCCCCGTGACCAGAGTCTCCTCAGAGTGGGAGTTGGGCAGCCCTTCTGCTCAGGGACAGCAGGGCCTACAGGCTCAGCCCTGGCCCTGCCCTATTCCTGCCCTGTCAGGGCTAAGTTCATTCATTCATTCATTCAGCCAGTATTTAGTCCACATCTCTCATATACCTGGCACCTACGAGGTGCGCCCTGAGCCGATCAACAGTGGCAGAGAGAGACTTCCCCCCCAGGGTTCTAAGGGATGGCACCCCCAGAGGACCTGATGGGGTGGGCTTCCCCGAGGAGCTGACATTTTCAGCGCTGCAGAGAGGTGGCCCGCTGGACTGAAGCTGAAGCTTTGGGGTCTGCCTCTGGGCTCCGTGTGCTCCCGGCCTCTCCCCTGGGCACCTCCGGGCAATCTCGCCCACCCCAAGAGCTGGGTGCGGGAAGGCCCCTGGATGGCGACGCGCTGCGGCAAGCGCTGCCCGCATGCAGCAAAGACCACCGCTCCCCATCACTCACACGCACGCACACACACAGCCACGCGCGCAAGACTGTGGCCCTGGAGACTGCGGACACACAAGGTCTCCGTAGAATAAACTGGGACTCCGCCTGTGACCTCCTGGAGGGGCAGGGATCATCTGTCCCGCAAACCGCTGTTCCCAGCACAGAGACATCACTGTGACTAAGTGAAAGGACTGACAAACCAGGGACCGGCCGACTTCCAGCCGCCCAGCGGAGAACGGCCTGGACAGGGCGCGCAGGGCCAGAGGCGGTGACGTCACCGGCAGGGAGCGCGCCGCCGCCCGGGGGCGGGACCGGCGGTGACGTCACGGGAGGCGGGCCCACGTCGGGCAGGGCGGGGCGCCGGACGGCGGTCACGTAGCTCAGGTTCCCCGGCTGCCTTAGCGCGCGCGTCGGTCGGGTCTTGCGTGCCGGTGCCTGCCGTCCCTCGCCATCATGCCGATGTTCGTGGTGAACACGAACGTGCCCCGCTCCTCCGTGCCGGACGGGCTCCTCTCCGAGCTCACGCAGCAGCTGGCGCAGGCCACGGGCAAGCCGGCGCAGGTCTGCAGGGAGGGCCGGGCTGGGAGCGCGGCTCCGGGATGGGGCTCCGGGCGGGGAGGGCAGGCGGCTCCGGGATGAGGCTCCGGGCTCGGAAGGCGGGCGGCTCCGGGATGGGTCCCGGGCCGGGAGCGGCGGGGGCGCGCGGGCCGGCTGACCGCGGCCCCTCGCCCGCAGTACATCGCGGTGCACGTGGCCCCAGACCAGCTCATGACCTTCGGGGGCTCCAGCGAGCCCTGCGCGCTCTGCAGCCTGCACAGCATCGGCAAGATCGGCGGCGCGCAGAACCGCTCCTACAGCAAGCTGCTGTGCGGCCTGCTGACCGAGCGCTTGCGCATTAGCCCGGACAGGTGCGTGGGCGCCGGTGGGCGGGCGGCGCGTGGCCTCGGCTGCCCCCGCACGGCCGGCTCAGCCCCGCTTCCTCCCTCGCAGGATCTACATCAACTTCTGCGACATGAACGCGGCCAACGTGGGCTGGAACGGCTCCACCTTCGCCTGAGGGCCGCGCCACGGGTTTCCCGCCCGCCGCGCCCCCCTCCCCCTCCCCCACCTCCCTGGAAGGAGAAATAAACTGGAGACGCGGGCTGCCTCGGCTCTTCTTGGCTTGCGGAGGAATCGGTGCAGGGCGGGGCCCATGAATGGGGAACCGAGGCCGAGACGGGTATCCCCGGAGTCTGCAACCTAGCCTTTCCACGCCTCAGCCCCCAGTAGAGGGCCCACGCTTGGCTGGCATCCTGCCTGCACGTAGACCCAGGAATCCAACTCCGATCCGGAACCCTCCGCCTCCTCTCCCCACCCCGACCTCCCGCGGAGACCCAGCCACCTCGTGGGTCAAGGCTGGCGGGGAACTGGGGGAGGGGTCAGGATCCCAGTAGAGCCGAGGAGGGGCGGGAAGGGGGAGGAGAGGGAAACCTGGACTCTTTCGAGGTCACTGCCCCGTTGTCGCTGCCCGCCTCAGTGTCGTGATTTGGGAAATCCCCCTGTGCTGGAACTTGGGAACCATTTTCCGGTGTGGTGGTGGGGGAGGTGCCCAGAAGGTGGAGTTCCTGATGATGCCTCCCGGTCCAGCCCTGGCCTCTGGGGCACAACAGTTTCCTGCGAGAACAAACTAGTGGTTTGGGTGGCATTCAGGTCTCAGGGTATAGCAGCCGCCAGAACCTCCAGGTGGCTGTTAGCCCCTGTTGGACAGGAAGGTCGGGTGCTGAGGGGACAGTCGGGAACACCAGTGTGGGGGTCGGGTGTACCTGGGGTCCCCTGGCCTAGGTGGGATCCCTTCTCCAAGGGCAGGGGCTTGCTCCCTTGTGGCCAGGCCAGCTGCCTTCGGGCCCCGCCTGGCGGCAGCTCCTTCCAAACAGAAAGATGTGCAGTCACTTGGCTGTGTGCACAGCCGGCCCCTGCCTCATCAACCCGGGTCCCGGGGCCTCCCCCTACGGACTCGTGCTGGCCCTGAACCTCAGCCCCTAAGACAGAGAAGAACACCCAGAGAGTGACTTAAAATGCCACGGAATTGAAGTGAATTTGGTTTTGGAAGCTGAGATACTGAGGAAAAGGGTTTCACTGCCTGGGCAGGCCTCGTGCTGGGAGTGCCTTTGAGCCACAGGCAGTGACAAGGGCCCCTTTATGCGCGTGGCCACCCCAGGCCCTTCTTGGGTGGCTGCCAGTGATCCTGCCCGTGTGGCTCCCCGCAGGCAGGGGCAGGAAGCTCCAGGTGCCTAGTCCAGGCCAGGAGTTGAGGACGGGTCAGAACAACCTGGTTCACTGGCACTTTGCACTGGGGCAGCCTGCCAGGGCCAGCCTGCTCCCCTGGACACACCTGAGGGCTGCTCCCGTACAGTCCAGGCCTAGCTGGGGCCGTGGGGGGAGCACTCCGGCCCTCAGCCCCAAGTATGCTTCCTGGCTGTGGACGGTTTAACTTCCAGGACATGGGGGACAGGCATGACCTTAGAAAGGAGGAGTCTGGAGAGTGTGGCCTGTTGGGGGGGGGGGGGTTGCTCCTCCCCCCACAGAGGTCTTCAAGCTCCCCTCAGTTTCATTCTGTCCCAGGTGACGGGACAGGGCTCTCAGGGTCTCCAGGCTGGGGCGGGCATGGCTCAGCGTCCCCTTCTTGGGTATGAACTCCCGTGGGTAACAGGCTCCCACCAGCCTGGCCCAGCACCCATGATAGGAACAGCAGGGGGCTGGGTCTCTTGAGCATCTCGTCCAACTTCCTCATTTCACAGCTGAGGACCTGGTTCTGGTCTCTGGGGCGTCTTGACTCTGGGCCGCCTCCTCCCAGGGTCCACCTCACATGACACCCCCCCCCCCCCGCCCCGAATGCCCCAGCTAGGACTCTCACTGTGGCCCCACGGGAGCCATGGGGGTCTCCCGAGGCTCCCCGGCTGCAGGTGTCTGAGGGCCCAGGCTGGGCGCCTGCTGTCTCAGGGAGGGTGGAGGGGCTCCGGAGAGCAGAGGGTGGCTCACCGCCAGAGGCTGTGGTCAGCTGCGGGGTTGCATGGCAAAGGATCCTTGGAATCCAAGGAAAAACAGGGCGTCTGTGGGTCAGGGACCCATACTCGGGCACGCCCACTGCACTCCCGCATTCTCCGGAGTGAACCACTGTTCCTTCTCTATCCTGCTCAGGCCATCCCCTGTCTCTCTTACCTCACTCCCCGCCTCACCCCGTGAGCTCCATCTCCTCCGAGGCATGGGCTCCCCTGCCCCCTGACAGCCTGTTCCGGCTCCCGGTGCCAGCAGCTGCCCTGCCCACGGGGGTGCCAGCAGCCTTGGAACCAGCAGCAGAAACTCATTTCCAAGGAACCCCTCACACCGAGGTGGGACAGACAGGGGTTGGGGTGCCAACGCTGGCTGCCACCTGCTCTCCACCATCTTTCCAGTGCTACCGGGTCGTCTGCCAGTGAAGACCCATGGCCTCCAGGGGGACCGGCCGCCCTCAGCCCCAGTGTGCAGCCTGGTGCCTCTGTTCCTTGTGCACTGAATGCCCTCCCCCTCCTCGCCCCCGGGAGCCTCGCACAGCGCCTTCTAGGATGCACTCCCTGAGGCCCCGACGCCAAGGAAGGCCACTCTAGGCCCTACACTGCTCCTCCTGGTGGTGTGTCCCCAGCAGCTTCTGGGTAGCTGCACCAAGCTTCGTGATCTTTGAGGCCAGCAGCCGGAGGCCACTCGGGGCTTGTCCACTCTGGACAGCCTAGCAGCCTAGGTCCCCCCAGGCCTCCAGCCTTGTCCCCTCCAGGCTTGTCCCACTGCCCTCTCCTCCAGCCTGAGACCCCTGCCTCCAGGCCTGCTTCCCCGGGAGTCTGACCCAAGGGGCTCTGGAGTCAAGTGCCCATGGCTTCCCTCTGGGCCTCAGTATTCCCCATCGATGAAATGAAGGGATTCCCCAAACGTCTTTCCTCTGTAATCCCTAAACCATGGAGCCGTCCCTGTCAGCCTCAGCAGCACAGGCACCGCGGACGGCCACGGATGCTGAAGGCGCCAGTAGGGTCTGCGCCTGCACTCAGGTCTTAATACTATCTGGGGGGCTCCACGGACCCCGGAGCTCAGGACGACACCAACATTTCTGGGCCAGTGAGCTCCTCCTTGACACTTTGCCCCACTCCGCACCAGGTGCTGGCCCCCAAGATGGGGTTTGGTGAAGCTCTCTCCTGCCACTCAGCCCTTCTTTCCAGTTGAGCAAAGCCAGCTTCCAGCCCTGCAGGCCTCACAGCAAGAATTACAGAATGAGCTGGAAAGGTGGAGTGGCAGAGCGGGTGTGCATAGTGAGGCTCCGTCAGCCGTCTTTCCCCAGAATCACCCTCCTGATCGAGTGGGTGCATCTCCCTTTCTGTGTTTGAAGCCCACGTAAGAGGGGGAAAAAAAAGAGGCCAGTTTTCAGGAGCTGACTGTGCCCGCTCGCTCCTGGAGCCTCGGCTGCCACCCGGGGGTACCCCAAGACAGGGCTCCGAATCCCAAAGCTACAAATGGGAAGTCTCGCGAGCGCGACCCGTGACCGGATTTCTTGCCTAATTCTGCTTTTGTTTTAATAGGTGACATATGTATGTCTGGGGCGCAAATTCAGAGTATTCCAAAGATCCCCCAAGAGAAAGCTCCCTGCAGCCACCCCCTCCACAGACACCCCCAGAGGCATCTTTACACACACATAACACCCCTCCCCCTAACTTTTGTCCCCCACAAATGGTAGCCTATTCTAACGCTAGTTTGACTTTGTTTTCTTTTCTTTTTTCAATCTAGCTCAGTTACTTAACCAGCCCCGGTCAGGACGGTTTGGCCTCAGTCCATCCCTCCGCCCTCAGCTCTGTGCTGTTGGCGTCCACGCTTGCGGAGGTGTACCTGGAGGATAGGTCCCTAGCAGGGTGAGTAGGTCAAAATCGATGCTGTGACCCGATGTCCCTCCTAGGGGGCGGGCTAGAGCCGGGGGGCCTCCCCACCTGTGGGGAAAGTTTTTCTCTCCTTATGAGGTAGACGTGAACGGCCATTCCTGGTACCTTTTCGAGAAAGCCAGTACAACCCTTCAACATATTTTCCCGCTGAGTGGTTTGTTGTGTTCAAGCTCTTTGTGTATCAGGGAAGCTAACTCTTTGCTAGGAGTTGCAAATGTTTTCCCCAGCTTGGGCCCAGACCTCGGCTGGCCCGAGCACCACGGGGACGAAGCCCCCTCGGGCCACAGCGATGCTGCCCGCAGTGGAGGTATCGTCCCAAAGTCCACAACTATCAACTTAGCTTGTAAATTAGGGCGTCTGGTGGCAGCCAACCCCCTCCTCCTTCCCAAAGAGCTCCTTCCTGCCACCACTAGCTCAGCGGGGGATGCCAGGGCGATGTCCACCTGAACGGTCACTTTAACTCGTGACCCTCAAAGGTGGTATGAATTTCATGGTGGCTTTGCTGAAAAGTAGACCTGGCTGGTCAAAAATGCACTGTGACGGGGACTTCCCTGGTGGTCCAGTGGTTAGGACTCTGCACTTCCAACACCGGGGCGGGGGGCGGGGGGCGAGGGTTCAATCCCTAGTAGGCAAGGTGGCAACAGGACTGCCACCCACGAGGAAATCGGATGGACTCTGTCAGAGTCTGCCAGTGGTTCCCCAGGAGAAAGCCCAGCTTCAGGGAGTGAGTCTCTCATCTTTTGCTCTCTGATAATTTGGAGGATACTTTTTTTGATTCTAAAATAAGCCCATATTGTCCTTGTTCAGGGAGAAGTGAAAAGACCCTTTGGGTCTGAAGCTTTCCGGTTGTTCTTTGTAAAGTTGTAGTGAGCCCCCAGTCCTCCGCTCCAGAAGTGGGTCTGAGGGGAAGGGGCAGGTACCAGACCACCTCCAGGGAGGTGCATGGCTTCAGAGAAGAACACGAGTGACCCTGCCCTCCAGTGCCAGCACTTGGGGTGGCCCTGCCCCCCGGGAAGCAGCCGGGTCCGGGCGGGCGGTGTGACATACGCGACAGCAGCAAAGAGCCCAGGCCTCTTCCCCACCAACAGCAAAGCACCACGAGAGCTGAGTGTTCAGGAGGGTTCTGGAAAGGAGTTTCCAAAAACAAAGTCTTCCATGAAGGCTGATTCCTTGCTGAGTGGCTGGCTGCCAGTCAGAACAAAACACAGC